TGTGATGATGGTGGTGGTGATGGTAAATGGAGAGTAAATCTGGCTGCCAGTGTTCTGGGAGCAACTGGGGAAGGGGGCTAGGAGGGCCTTCCCTTTCAAGATGTGGACTTCTCATGTAGACCCCCTCGTTCTGGGTTTGTTTCCCTGCCTCAGCTGGCTTCATGACCAGGAAGTTAGACTCTCTCTGGTTTAAATTTTGAAGAGACTAAACCTGTTAATTGAGGAGGAGTCAGTCATTACAGAGACACTATGAGGTTGCTTTGTCTACCCCCCCCTCCCTGGGGACACCAACATCATAGATGTTTTATTTTATTCTTATTTTCATTTTTTTTTGATTTTTAAAAAACTATATATAAAACTATATATTTAACTCCACAGGCAATACATATGTTGTTTTGTATTTTTAATGCCAAATTGGTATCATATTTTTTGGAATGTTCTTCAACTTGCTTTTTTAAAAAAACAACATGGTTTTCAGACATATCCATAGTAATATATGTAAATCTATTTCAGCTTCTGCTATTTCATCTTATTCCATTTAAAAAATATTGAATCTCAGTTTTTAGATTCCTCCATGATTTGTACTTAGGTACTGTCATATGCACGAAATTCTCCTTAACTATGTGGAAGAAAGGGAGGGCCATGGACTTAGGAAACTTGGCTAGAGAGACCTAAGAGGCTGTCCGGTCCAGATCCTTCTCTTCCAAGAGGAGGAACTTGAAGCCTAAGGAGCTGAGGTGATTCGCACACAAACATTCCACTAATTAGCATAGTCTACGCTGGAACCTTTGGTGTTGTCAGCATTGCTTGAGTTTGTAGGTGTTTATGTGTGTGCACACAGGGAAAGTCCTTCAAGTATCCTTTGGGAAGACAGACACTCGATGATTTATGGAAGTGATATTATTTGTCACAGTGTCGTTTTGTAGTAAACAACATTGTGGAGAAGTCAGCAAGGAAATTAATCTTGCTAAAGCTAAAAATAGACCCTCCTGACGATTATTTAGAAGTGTATGCTCATAAAACAATACTAAACATCATAGGCAGCATCATGGCTTTTAGAAAACTTGACTTGTCTTAAGCAGGCTGTGCCAGCTCAGGCACCAGGCCAGTTTTCCCAAGAGGGCTTCATCAGCTTCCATCGTCTCCATAAACTCCACCTTCGTTCTTTACAAGCATCTGGTCGTATCTGATCCAACGAGCATCGTTCTCAAAACCACATTCCAGTCGAGGCCCTGGTTGCATAACGAGTTTCCAGTTATGCCCTGGTAACAAGGGACACAGATTCCTACTGAAGCTAGGCGAATACCTACATTGTCTCAAAAAAATTCAATGAGAATTTTTGAATTCTGGACAAACTTCATTTTAACTTACAAAATCTGGGTCTACTATGCTGTTATGATTCATAAAAAGCTTAGGAGGAAAGACAGAAGGCTTCCTTATATATCCATAGTATAGATATTAAAATAACATTGACAATATTCCAAGCAAAAACTACCATCATCCCTCACTGATTCATTCAGACCTGCGTAGTTCATTCTTACTCCACAGGATCTGGGGTTGGTTGTCTCATGAACCCATCTGCTCCTCTACTGCAGTTCTGGAAATCCCGACTTAGCCCACTGGGGTGGTCTTAAAGCTCTTGCAGTGTTGCCAGCAGAGACCTGTACCCTGAAGGACGTGGCATACGGTCATTTTCTGTGGGGCTCTGAGTAGTCCTTCTGCGTGGAAGATGAATCATTCTGGCCTGCAGCTGACTGCAAAAGCTTTCAGAAAAGCATCGAAGTAAAACAGGCTAAGAAAAATATCCATGCATGACAAATGACCTAAAATGACTGTGGTTAGTTTATTATTGATAACTTTCAGGTATGAAAGCCTCAGTGAGAATTAAAACAAAACTATTGCCCCTGACAAGAAAATTTGGTTGTCTCTGTGGCATGTAAGAAAATAGTAAAGTCAATCCAAAAATACTTTACTCAAAATCTATAAATGCAATCACTAAGTATATTTTCAAAAAAAGACAACAAACATATCTTATTCGTAAAAACGGTTGAAGAGAGGAAAAATCTTGATGTAACAATTATTCAGAGACATACTATACTATGAATATAGCAAGCATATGTTCCATGCATGCAAGCATATTCTTATATATGGTAGGGATATATCAAGAACATCAAGTAATGGGATTCAATAGATGTGGACTGGATCCTAGGCATCTATATATAATAAAACTATACGAGTAGGTGATGGGAATTCCCAACTGAAAATTACTTTCCTAGAACATACTAAATTGAAATGAAGTAAAGCTATGATCGGGTTAACATTTAAAGCAAATAACTGAAGTTATGATTGATAACCTGTACCATCAGGCAAAGAAGCACTAGGATTGGTGTCTGTTATACGTTATTTTTTTCAGGGGCATACTGTTAAGATACCAGTGGGAAGTGTCCAGTTATATCTGTAATGAGATTTTCCCCTAACTGACAGGGATAAGTACAGTCATAACAGTGTTAGAGCATTACATTTACAAAACGCTGTTGGGGCTTGACTATTCAGTGTCAGAATTCATACATCCCAGTGAGTGTGTCCTTGTGGGAGCCACCTCAGGAAGTTCTGATATCCCAAAACAATACCAACATTGCTCAAAGGTTTCCAATCCCTCTGTTGGAGTCATGGCGACATCTTCCAGTGGAACATGGATACTCTCTGAGGACACATCCAAGTCTGGTGAATAAGAGAGATAATATGTCTGGATAATGCAATTTTTTTAGCCAAAAATGATGTGTGATTAAAAGTTTGGACACTCCTTTTCTGATTAGCGGGCTCCCGTTGTGAGCGATTTTGAGTAATGATGAAACCATTTCAATAAGGGTAGCATTCCCGGTAACCGGAAGGAGGAAGACCAGATATAACAGGTGATTCAGGTGCCTTCCGATGAAGGAGCGCAGAAGGAAGAAGCAGTGGGAGACCTGGAGAAACATTTGATGGGGACCGTAAAAGACACGAATTTGGAGCAGAAATGGACATTCTGGGATTTCCTAATTTAAAACTGCAAGATGAGTGACAGAGAATGGGTACCACCTTGGCCCACGCTGTGGTCCGAGGAGCTCGATGGCAGAATCCTTCCAACGTGAACCACAACGCAGAGAACGAGAGACCGGGAGGGAAAGCCAAGAGCCCGAATCAGACCCAGGAGGCCCGATGTGTGGGTAACGGGGTGCCGGAAGAACAGAAGACCGGAGAGGAGAGCCCTTAACTAGCATTGTGACATTTTCTGCCTTTATTTTCTTGTCTCTATGGTGTGAGCGGAAGTGACTGACCTACTTACTGAGGTCACAGTGTTGTTAAGATAAAATGAGGGATGAAGACAAACATAACTTGAATAGTTAAACGATGTTGAAGTGCAAACTGTCATCTTCAAGAAAGTCCTCAAACATTTTCAATTTATGTGATGCAGGTGACAAAGTCGCCTGAGGATGAATCATCCCTTCCCAATGGCGATGTAGTGGGAGAGGCAGAGAGTACCACAGAGGTAAGAGTTGGTATCTCGCACCGTCGTCCTGCAGGCAGCTTTCCTCAGAATGTCAGCGTGGTGCTGATCTTTCTGTATCTATGTTGTGTGTCTACCTTATCATCTATCTGTCAATATGTCTATTTATTTATCCATTCATCCATCTATCTATCCATCTACCCATTATCTATCTTACTGTCTGTCTATCTATCAATCAATCATCTATCTATCACCTATCCATCCGTCATTTCTCCATCTTCCATCTATGTACATGCATATATCTATCATCCACCCATCATCCATCTATGTATACACATGTACATATGTATGTATGTCTGTATATATCTATCACCTTTTTAAATCTCTGAAGTTATAAAGCCTCCCTGAGCAACTGCCTAAATGTCAAACCCTTTGGCATTCTCTTCATAAGCCTTAAATGAGTGAATTGAAACTCTTTATTTAGGAGTTTATTACTCTACCATGCCCATGAATCAGACCCGTTGACTTACACCGATAGCTCCCATCAGTAGCTTTGAGGGGTGACAATCCTACACTCTAGTAGCTAAGTGACCTAACAAATAGGACATCTACATTTGCTCCATTTATATGCTGTGTATCCAAGAAAGAAAACCACAACACATGTGGTCTGCTGTTTGCTTGTTTCCTTGCTAGCTTATCTCGGGTTAGTGATACTGTGTGTTTCCTTTATAACCAGGGAACAGAGAAGACCGAAGAAAGTGGAGAAAACGAGGCACAGAAAAAGGATGAAGAAGATGCGGGCAACCTTACTGAATCCCAAGAAAAGAATGTGAGTGTTTGCTTTTTTCACCGTAGTTTCATTGGATTCATTTCTATTCATCAAGTATTCATGGAGCTCCTACCAGGTGCCAGCAATCCTTCTGGGCACACAGGAATGAGCATGATAATAAGGAGCTGAGAGGTTAGCCGGGTAGAAGCTGGTAATTTGTATCTAACGGGTTAACCGATGTGGTCAACGTATGTCGAGGGCTCAAAGGGAGTCAGAGGAAGGACCTGAACCCAGGCTCGGAGGGACAGGCTAGACGAGACTTCAGTAATTTGTTGTTGTGTTGAAAAGGATAGGTTGGGTTTATGTTCTTTCCAAAACCAGAGACCTATTCATTGTCATGAGCGATGGTGGATTCCCAGCATTCGTCCACTGAGTCTTTTTGGGAAGCCAAGAGGAGCTGATGATGGAAGGCAGGCCTGGGGAAGGAAACCGACATCAGTCAGAATCCAGTCGAGGAGTTGCAGATCCCCGCTGATCCGAGGCCTGCAACAGGATTCTAAACGGGGCTCTACTTCAGGAACCACAGGACAAAGGGTGGGGAGAACGTGAGGAGGGGGAGAAGACTGTGGTTCTAGAACAGCAAGCTAGGACAGTGGGGAACTGGAGGGGCCTCTTATGCCAGGAATTCCCAGAATGTGCCTGAGAGCCAGGTAAGGGAGAGACCCAGGTGAGGGGGAGCCTGACCGGGGTGGGGCTGCCAGCATCTGGGGTGGGGGGAGCTTCCCTACGGGAGAATTTCCGTGGGCTTCTGTGTTGCTCTAGTTGTCACAAAGACTGTTTACTGAATGCAGATGGTTTGTATTTTTACCTATTTTTTGATTCCAAGAGAGGTGTGGACAGCTTTTAAGATAGGTGGACTCTGTTCCCAGCACCGGGCATGTGACTAGGAATGGTCCAAGACCGGTGGCCATGCTGTGAAATGCTGGGGAGTGGACATCGATTGGTCTTTATCTTTAGGAACCTGGATTTGCGAGGGGCTAGGGCAGTAAATTCCTCATATTGGAAGCACGCTAATTCAAAATGTTCATAATTTAAGACTCTTTGAAATTATTTTTTTTTTAAGGAAAGATGCAATCTTTCATCTTGACCTAGAAGTTAAATGGGGTTTCTTGGCAGCCTATATAATTCAGAAATAATAGATTTTAAATTAAATATAATGATAGTTGCATTATGTTGTAATTTAAAAAACTGTCTTTTTATAATTTGAACTTGGCGTAAATGTCCTCAAGCTCTCTTTTAATATTATTGATTTATGTGGGGAGATTCGTTTCGCTTCTTTTAGGACAAAGACCAACATAAAAAACATTACAGCCAACCCCTTGGTCCCGTGAGCCAAGGTAGCTTTTGACAGTCAGACCCTGCCTCCTCCAGCAGGGGCGGGGTCTGCTTCAGCCTCTCAGCCTTTTGGCTCCTGAGGCCAGTTCAATGACGTGACAAGCCATCCAGACTGGGGCTTCCCTTCGTTACTATTATTTAAGATTGTGAGCCTTCTCCAAAGTCAATTATCATCTCGCAAATTCTGATAGGAACTTAAAAAATCATTTTTGTTTTTTGACATGGGCTGTGATGAAAGCAATGACTAAGGAAAAGACATTTTTATTTTAGATGAAGTTATTATTAACATTATTACATTATCGAACTGTCTTTTCAACTTTTTAATAATATTTATTCTACATAAAGACAGATTCTGACTTTTCCCCATTTGATAACTGATACATGCTCTTTGACTGACTTTAATTCAGTTCAATAAGTAAAAACATCATGATCTCTCAGTAAATAGCATAAAAATGACATGATAATGTGATTAGCTTTGGGATTGAATGCATAGGAAAACTCATTGAAATTTAAAAAGGAGACAAAACTATCCGTTATTTAAAAGTTACATTCTGTGCTACTGTCTGTTTTTATGGCCTGGGGTTGGTTTGGAGAAGTTCAGCCAGGAAGGCCATCTCTGCTATTTGTCATCCCAGCTTTACCCACAGTGACCTGGATGTACATAGGCTTATTTGTAATAAACATGTCAGTTAGATCATTGTGTTTTACCTTTTTAACATTCATCTTCCAAGTACTGGCCACATCCGTGTAGGTTCTAGGCATTACAGCCCAGATGAATCCAAGTCTTTTAGATAAAAACTCTGGCTCTGTTGAAAACCGTCCTGAGGAGGTTTCATGGATTCTCGGGATTTTCTCCTGCCAACCCGTTGTGTTTAAACAGTAGTGCTCCCTGTGCTCCCTCATCACCCAACACTCCACAGGGACGCAAAGAACACCACTGACTGGGCCTAGATGTGGTTTCTGTGATTTGTGTGCAAGGAGTGTCAGCTTCCTCTGTTTCTCTAGACGTCACTATATCTGCTTCATGCCTCTGCCTCACGGCTGGCAGGAAAGTCAATCTGGGTGAAGTGTTTCAGAGACCCTCTCCTCCCTAGGGACTTGGAGGCATCCAGAGTCTTCAGCGGTGCCCGGAAGGGGGAGAGGACTCTGGTTCTTTGTCTACCTCGGCCACATTGTGACGTGGCTTTCCTGATGCCCATTGCGACTGTCGAGTGCTGGTCCCGTGCAAAGTGCCCGGGGCTCCCCGAGTGCCCCAGGGGTCCCGGGCTCAGTGACTGTGTGCAGGCAGGACCCGGTGGCTCCACTCCTAGAAGACGCACCCCTTCTGACCCCTTCTCTCTCCAATCTGGCTGCTTCCATCTCCCCAGCTCTAAGCCCGAGACTCCAGCCCCCTCTTCAGGGACCACGTAGCTTCGTCACCTCTGTTAGCCCACGGTTTTGAAAAACGCAGCCTATAGTTCCTTCCCTGGGGGCAGAGAATCAGGACAAGTACGTGGCTCTTCCAGAGCGTGGCAGGACAGTAACCCTATCCCCCTTCCCCAATTTTGCGTAATAGAACAAAACGAATTCAAAGCCTGGTATTTGGCCACACTACTTATGACAAGGAATGCAAATGTATTTTAACCTTTTATTCTAAACTAATTATAGACTCACGGGGACATAGGACTGAATCCTGTGTGCTCCTCACCGGCTTTCCCCAGTGGTGACAGCACAGATGGCCTCAGTACAATGTCGAAACCAGGAAAGTGACTTTGGTGTGTTTCTGTTAAGTAGACTACAGACCTTAGTCAGTGGTCACCGTTCTTTTAACCCTTTCACTCGTGTGTTGGAAACCATCATCTGTGTGTTGACCTTTTTCACGGTGTGATGGGGACGGCCCCCTCAGCACCTGGGGGTGTAAGCTGAGGGTCAAGCGGCTCCGTCGTGTCTGAGTCACCGGTTCGTTTATCTGAGCTCAACTGTCGTGCACGCTCGCTCACTGCGCACTTGTACCTGCTCAAACGAGGCCATTTTAGTGAGGAAACATATTATTCTAAGAATATTCTATTGATTAAAAAATCAGAAATGGAGACAAACGTCCCCCTCCCGCTGGGATAGCGTCCCTTTCCCTCTATTCTCCTGCAATGAGGTGGCCCGCCCCCAACCACCGCCTCAAGCCTCCGGGTTCTTCGGCGCAGGATGCCAAGATGTGCACCACCTGCTGCAGACAGGTCGCGGCCGTCTGGGAGGCGGGACGGGGGGCGCTGACTCACGCGCAGGGGACCTCGCCTGTAGCTGTCACTGCAGACTCGCTACGGGGAGGGCGGTACATGGCCCCCCTCTGGGACCACCCAGGGGCCCACGGGGACCAAGGACAGAGGGGGAGCTGGTGAACCATGCGCAGGCGTAAAGGCAGAGAGCGGGTCCCCTCGGCTCCTGGGCACACTCCAAGAGAGGAAGTGTGGGCTGGGGACACTGTGAGAACCTCAGGGAACGGTGGAAACACTGAGGCTTGTTGAAGTTCGTGTTTGGTTTTCATCGAGGGGAATGATTTTAAGTTGCGCCAACTCGAGTCCTCTGCAAAACTGTCGAAGACCTTGGCCCAGTCGAGTACATGGTGGTGGTCTGTGCGTCACCCCACTGGGTTGCCTCCAGAAGCAGACGTGGGTTTAGGTCCCGAGTCTCTGGCCGAAGACGCCCTGTGGTGCCCGAGGGTCGAGAGAACCCAGCTCCTGCCCCTGATCCCCAGGCCCCGCCCCAGGCCACTCCTGGCTGGCCCTTGGCTTCCTTTCGCACCAGCCACCTGTCCTAACCGGCCACTGCCTGACACTCACCACGGCTGACACCTGTCCTTACTCCTGGCCACATGCCACCTCAGCAGCCTGCCTCCCTGGCCAGCCAAGTTCTCAACACAAATAGCTGCTGGCGAAGGTTCTAAGACTTCCCACTTCTGAGGCTTCACCCGACTAGCTCTCTTAGAACAGATGAAATAATTTTAAAGTGTAGCTCTGTCCAGGGAATGGTTTGTACCCTGTCCTAAGATTTTGCAAGACCTTGGCTTAATTGACCATGTGATTATAATTATCTTTTAAAAAAAACCTTTTTGCCGATATACTTATCCGCCAACCAGAAAAGTGAATTCAAGCATTGTATGTAGGTAAGGATCTGCCTAATTTTGATATTTTACAATTCTGTGAGCTAAGGATGGGCATTAAGTTTTTATTTAATTACTATATCCCAGCTCCTTCTAAGAAGCAGGAGTGGTGTGCATAGATGCATTTAGTCAACATTTTATCAACAGATTGAGTTGCTGCCACGTGCCAGGCAGAATTCCAGGGGCTGGAGCACGAAAGAGACCAAAGTTCCTGTTCCCACAGAGCTCGTGTTTTGGTAGAACTAGCGATGGGTGGTAATGCCCGAGTTTCTTCAAAGCTTCCTTGACCTTTCGAGGCTAAGTATCTATCAAATTCTCTGAGCAACTACTTTCTTTCTTTAACACGTCTTTCAAGAGATGAAGGTCAATTCAGGTATTGATCAGGAGTCCTAGGACCGAGGTAAGTGCTGCTAGCCTTAAGAATTGAGACTGACTCTTATTCCTGTAAGACCCCCGCTGCCCTCCAGGCTAGCTCTAAGGATAACCCATTTTAACAGTAATCTTAATGCATCTCTTTCAGCTGAATATAGTTAATAAAAATGATGGGATTTATAAAAATGTACATCTTATATAGTTGATAATTCTAAGGTGCATATCATGAATTTTAATTTGATCTCAGGTGGATAAGAAGAAAATTGATGTTCTTTGAGAGTTAATAGCCAGCTTTATACACTCATTGATCCAGTCGCTTAATGCATTTATTGAGTTCATTTCGTGGTTCCAGACAGTGGCTGGGTCCTGGAGATCCGAAAATGAACATGACACAGGTTGTGCCTCAAGCGCTTCGCAGACTAGTCAGGGAGACGGATATGGAAAGGAAGATTATGGGTGCAGATAGGAGATACCCAAACTAGGTCTGGTTGAAAATATTTTAAGCAGTGTCCTGGAAGGTGTGACAATTGAAAATTGCCTGTGGTCCGTCTACGTGGCTGAAAGAAAGAATGGGGAGGAGGCACGAGGCTGGGGGCCGTGAACGGGGGGCCAGGTGGCTACGGCCTTTCAGCCGTTCTAGGGATGATGGATTTATCTTGAACAGGTGAAAGTTTTGAAGCGCAAGGGCAGCATGGTCAAGTTCACGAGGCTGGGGGCCGTGAACGGGGGGCCAGGTGGCGATGGCCTTTCAGCCGTTCTAGGGATGATGGATTATCTTGAACAGGTGAAAGTTTTGAAGCACAAGGGCAGCACGGCCAAGTTTGTGGTCTTAGAACGCTCTCTCGCTGCAGCGTGGGGCTCAGGCTGGGATTAAGGGACACTGGAGGTGCTGTAGCCGGGCGAGGAGACAGTTGGGGCGGAGGAGGGACAAGGCATGGGCAGAATCAGGCCACGCGAGAGCGGCGTTGTCTCCACGTCACTGAGGAACCAACACCCGCATTGCAACAAGTGCGGGACTCTTTTCTCTTGGACGTTGTTTAAGCTCTAATACTTGGTGTGTCGCCAGCGCTGGTCAACGCGAGGGTTTGTTCGGAGGGTCCCAGTGCTGGGAGCACCTCTCGGGCCGGCTCAGCTGCGGCCCGCTGGATTGGGCTCTCACGTTCTCTATTTGACACACCGGTCTCAGAAATCTGAATTTTGTTCCGGAACTGGCTGAAAACAGAAGGCAGGGCTGGGGAATGTAACAGTGTGGCGAGTCCTCTGTGACGTGCCTTCCATGATTTTGCCTTTTCTGTCACTGGCCTTGAGAGGCAGCATGACCGAGTAGGAAGGACACTGAAGTAGGCACCAGGAGCCTTGAAGTGAGTCCCGATTGCATTGCTTGCTTGCTCTGTGACCTTTGGCGAATTACTTAGGTCTGTGGTCCCGGGTCCTCATCTGTCTAAAGAACGGGAGGTGGGCGAGAGGATACGCAGGCCTGCGAGATTGCTCTCACCTTCCCCACCCGAGGTTCCCCAAGCTCTCTGCCCGAGGCGCAGGCATCAGGGCTTAGGGACTGCTCTTTAGACCTCACCTTTTCACTTACCTGGAACATTGTAGTGCTCTGTGGTAGCCCAGAGAGCTTCGCCCTATGGCCATTTGGGGGAAGGCACGGGAAGGTCTCATTTCCTTGCATTTTTAGGAGATATATCTTGGTTCTGTTACTTTGATCTGGGGGAGATAGAAATTCCAGTGGGTTGGCAGGATGGAGAGCTGCCTGAGCCTGCGATGACCTTATTGGTCTTTAACCAGAAATCAGCGTTTGAATTCTGCGTGGTTCAGAAATGTTATCATTTTGTTCTGTTGGAGGACGAGTTTTTGATCTACTTTTATTAATTCGTTCAAAGCTGAAGGGAAAGCATACTTATCAGGACATAAAGGCAGAAAGGACATAGTTTTGTTCAAAATTTCGAATGGCTTACGTATATGGTTTGAATTTTACTAACTAGGTCTATAGATCTCCAATATACGCTGGACCTAGAGAGAGAATTAAACATATAATTAAGCAGTATGACTGATTAGTTCTATTTTCTCAGATATATGAGCGATGGAAAAATATCTTAATCTCATAATATTCCAGGGGCTTGAAATATCATGCACGAAATAAGTAGGCATCGCTCAGTTATTATATCTTTGCTATTTATATATTTTACCGAGAAGTTAGTATCTTTCATTTTGATGAACATGTATTCTAGTATAGTTTTCTTCATTTTTAGACTCAACTTCAAACTTATGCGAATTAATATTTTTTTTTCTTAATTTTGTTTATGGACCTAAGGAAGAAGAGGGGGAGACAGCAGCGGAAAAGGTACAGTAGCATATTTAATAGTTGCACTTAATAAAAACATTTTTAAGTTGAGAGTTGCAGTTCGGCCACATTCTCCTTGTTGTTCATGATATAAAGAAGCCGATGCAACCCGCACTCCCAGAAACCCCTCCTTTCACCTGCTGAGACGGGAAATAAAATAAGTTGGAGACAAATTTATCAAACGGGGGTGGATAGAGAAGGAGGGCTTGGCTCTGGACCTCTGTCTGAGCCTCCTGTGGAGCAGGTATCTTCAGGGAAGCCCAGCCAGTTCGGGCCAGGTCGTTAGATGTGTTTTCCATTCTTCCTGTCCACCCCATTGAATAGGGCAGTTTGTGCAGCTTGCATGATGCTTAGTGCTGTTGGTTTGACTGCCTCCTAGTCACCCGGTTGGCGAGGGAGGGAGTCCCTTTTGGCGGTTGTGGGGATGATGGGTACACAGCACCTGGCACGGGACGGATGAGGCGGACAGTGGGTGGGGTGCGTGGGAGGCCCTTAAGTCTAGTCCGAGATGTCACACTCCTTTCTTTACTGTATCTGTCGATTCTCACACTTCTCAATAATGATGTAATTTTTGTTAAAATCAGACAGAAGACATAACGGAGGAGGGAGCGGAAGAAGCAGCAGAGGACGAGGAAGCTGAAAAAGGAGAAGAAGATTCGTAGGCATCTTTGTGCTTTATTTCTTCACCGTTTCCAGGTACCCACACAGTTCTGGGGTTGAACACTTGTTTATGGCAGTAGCTGTCTATACCACACTTCGCTTGGGAATAGAAGTGGATTCCAGTTCAAGTCTATGTGTCTCTCTTCCCACGGCCCGGACCTGCAGCCACAGGGCTGGTGAGCGCTGCCGGACCCATGGCTCGGGCACTGGGGCGTGGAAGCCCATGGGTGATAGGGATCCCGGGAAGCAGGGCGGCTGAGGAAGGGCTGGTTTCGTGTTTATTTTCTCCACTTCCTCTGTGCGACCTTCGTCTCCGTGAAGGAGTCAGCGTTCTGTTACACAGAGTCCCGTGCTGACCACTATGCGCACATATTTACGGGGAGAGTGACAACTGATGCCCATGGTGATGGCAACGAGTTAGAACTTTAAAAAACCATAAAGCTGGTTGTCGTTCATGAAAGACGAATATTGCTGCTAGCGATTCGGTGATAAGAGCTCGGCGTTCCATTTTTATGCGTTAAATATTGACTGGAACACTCGTGTAGGAACACTGTGGAACAGCGAAGTTCCTCTCGGGGTCTTTGACAAGTACACGTGCTGCCTTGTAGCTTTAAACTTCTGCTGACGATGAAAAATAATTGCGTGATTTTTAACAGTTTGGTAAGTGCCACATAAATATGTTAATAAGATAGTGATAGGATCTAATGATGGCGGATATTGAGGATTTGGGGGACATGCTCGAATGTCGTGGGCCATACAGATAGGATGGTACGTGTGAAAACATCTAAAGATCATTAAGTACTATAAAAATATCTGGTTTTACAAGACATATGGCAAATACCTATGTAAATGTCATATTATGATTAACATTAGTTGACCTTGCAACCGAATTTGAGAGAGCAGTTTATTTTCTAAGGCAGTGAGGCTTACAGTCTGCTCGGCTGCATGAGGGTTATTTTTAAAATTAAAATTAAGAATTTTTTTTAGTCTCTTTACTGCCCTGTTACGCCTTCACTGATGCGTATAAGACAGATTTGGGGGCTGTCGGTATCGGGAAGACAGGGAGAATGAGGGACTGAGCACGTGAGCACACAGCAGGTGTTCGGTAAGACAGCTTGGAGCCTGTCAAGTGAAGGGTGGAGGCAGTGTTCAGCTGGACGAGGCAAGAAATCCCGGTGCTCTGTAAATATTGGCTAACGGTTAGCAGTGCTCTGTGCACCGAAGACCAATTCGAATAGTACGAACCTCCCCTCTGAATATGCTTATGCTCAGACATTAAAGCTAATATAAAATCTCAGAGCGCGAAGACATTTCTAGGAAATCCGAGAGCTGGTCAGAGTAGCCATCACGATTTACGAGTGGACCATGAAAGTCTCATCACTCCTTTATTTGAATTACACAGTGAACCTGGCCTGTCATTTCATGTTTTCCCAGAGTTTTTTTTTTTTCGCGTTCTGAACACACAGATTTCTATTCTAAGGCCTAATGTTATCTTTTGGGGTGCGATCTCTTTTATTTTCTTTTGATTTTGATTTTCTCGTGTGGTTGCCAGCCTCGTTAACGTCCCCAGTCCCATTCCTAAGGCGTGGATCGGGACCCATTTTTGAGAAAAAGAAACTCGGCATGTTTACTTTTCGACGTTCTATCTGAAAAATGGTTGAAAAGGAAAATATGCTCATATTTATCCTTACACCAAAAAAAAAAAGCCAACCCACAGTGTAAGATTCGTATGTACTGTTAAATCTATTTCTATTCGCTATGAACGTAAAATTCTTTAAGAGTTATGCAATTTTCATGTAATTATTAAAAATTATTGAGTTTGAAATGGCATAGCTGAGAGACAATCCTTCACGTAGCCAGATGGCTTTATAGGCTGACCAAAAAAAAAAAAAGACAACTACAGCTGTGGCCAGCACAGTTTGCCAGTTTTTCTGATGGCTTCTCATTTGGAATCCGGTCCACAGTGGTCTGTCGTGAGGTCAGAGGGTCTCGCAGTGAAGGACCGCAGGAGGGATGCGATGTCCTTCTTTAAAACGCATCTTGGCAGACACGCAGGCATGCGGCAGACCACTCGGCTTCCGCAGACGAGCCCATCTCCGAGCTCGTGGAATACGCCAGGCACTTTATTTGCAAAGATGATTTTAGGGAGAACATGGCAAAGAATGGGCCTGCGAAGCAATTGTGATTTCCCGCGTTTGAAGCTGATGCTCAGTTGATGCCCAAGGAGAGATAACACAGAGCACGAGACCAAATGCCCCCCCGCGAGAGGCCGCGGCCTGATGCTGTGCTGACGCAGCCGCGGACCACTGAGACGTCCTCCTCCAGGACTAGTTCAGCCTCTCCATTCTCCAGGAAAAGGCAGGGGTGGCTGTGACCGGGGACGTTGACCCCCTCGTGGTGTTTGACATGTGCTAATGCAGGGAGAGACGTGACCCCAGCCTGGTTTAATTTCCTTTCTTGAGAACAAATGATGGCTAGTGCTTTACGGAACGAAAGGCAATACTTCCCTTTACTGCATAATAGATAATGAAGATTGTGGTAAACATTCTCTGTCTCCCTTTACCAGTCTTCTCCCTAATATTTTCTCTTTCTTTTAGAAAACTCAAGCCACGAAGCAACATTTCAACTTTTCCCTTACAAACCAAACTCAACCAAATGCTTTGGCCGGAAGCTAGCCCACCGCTCCGCCCATCTGGGCTCACGGAGGAATGCACTGTCTGATGCGGTTAGATGCCCGCGGCCCCACCGACGTGATCATATCATTGTCAAGTGCAATGACGACACCTGCAAACCGTCACGGGCCTGGCGTTTTTGGCCTTTGCTTAATTTTTTCTTTTCTTTTTTTTTTTCTTTTTCTTTTTTGCTCTGCATGAATAGATCTTACTAATACCCTGAAAAAAAAAGTTTCAAAATATAGAACTCTTCATGCTGTGACAGAAGTATTTCTTTGTATGTGCCTAAGGCGACTTGTCTCAGAATTAGCTTTGAAATTGGAGAGCTTTTTAGAGAACAAGCGTACAAATAAAGATTAATAGCAAATATCTTGCCCCAAACAGCATCGGTTTCTTTAGTTTCGGTCTCTACTTGTATATGCCTGAACTCAGCCCATCCGTTGCCACTTCTGAATCCTCAGCAGAACTTTTCTGTCTGCCTCGGGATATGCGTTTTTTTT